CTCAAAGAGCTGGTCAGGGTCCAAACTTCCCCACCTGGGCTCTGTGCCTCGTCTCTTGTTGCCGCTGTAACAAATCACCACAAACCCAGAGCCGTAAGACGGCGACTTTTTATTCCGTCACCGCGTGCCGGTCAGAAGTCCCACCTTGGTCTCCTGGGGCGGAGGTCAGGTGTGGGCCGCACTGGCTCCTTCTGGAGGCTCCAGGGTGGCGGGGTGGGGAATCACATTTCCTGCCTTTCCCCGCTTCTGGAGACACTGCCTGCCTTGGCAAGTGGCCGCTCCTGCGTCCTCCTAGCCCTCAGTGGAGCATCTCCAGCCTGTCGCTCCGGTCCTCCCGCAGGCTCTTCGGCTCTTAGGCCCCGTGGTGACACCGGGTCCACCTGTCCAGCCCAGGGCATCTCCCCACCTCAGCCCCTTGGCCTTGTAAGGGACACGACCACAGGTCCAGAGGGTAGGGTATAGACATTTCTGGGGTCTTCTCTGAATGCCGCAGCCTATAAATATTTATCTCTTCTTTTCAGTTTGCTTGAATTTGGGTCCAAAACAAAGTACATATGTTAGAATTGGTTAATAAGTTTCTTAAACCTCTTCTTCTTTTTTAAGTAGGCTCCACGCCCAGTGTGGAGCCAACATGGGGCTTGAACTCGTGACCCTGAGATCAAGACGGGAGCTGAGATGGAGTCGGATGCTTAACCCACTGAGCCACCTAGGCGCCCCAAACCTCTTTTTTACATTTATTTGTTTAATCTCTACACCCAACATGGGGCTCGGACTCATGACCCTTGAGATCAAGAGTTGCATGCTCCTCTGACTGAGCCAGCCAGGCGCCCCTCTTGAATCTCTTTTTAAAGTACGGTTTTGGGTTTGAAGGAGTTGGAGGTCCTTTGTCCTGTAGTTGCTCACAGTCTAGACCATACTAACAGTACCCTTGCTGTGTCTTTGGAGTGTGTTTCTGTCACCTGTGTTTCTGGATGTTGGTAGTGATGTTTCAGACTTGGTCAGATTCATCTTCAGTTTTATCGTGTGTGTTTGGTTTTGTGGACAGTATTTTTCCTCAGAGATGGTGTTCGCTGTGTCCTTCCGTCAGGAGGTACGTGGGGCCCAGCTGTCTCCCATTTTGTGCTGCGAGCAGCCCCTGGCAGTTGCCGGCCAGACCCGTGATTCCGTTCGGGTGCGGAGCCGGCCCGTCCCTGCCTCTGCTGACGAGCTGGCACATACTCAGAGGCGTCTCCCCTCGCCTGCTCTTTGTCGCGCGGTCCCCCAGGGAAGGCACAGTTAGTGCCTCATTCCTTATTTTCCACTTTTCAGAATAATGACTTGGACCTACCGTGTCTGCCAAGGGTGGTCAGTGAGTTGGAGATGTTTTTAATACCATGGTAAATCCACGCTCTCAGCAGATGGCGGGTTTCGTTCACGTGGTTCTTCCTTGCTGTGCAGAGGGCCCCCCTCTCCCCCCACCGTCCCTGTCCCCGCGTTGGCTCCTGAGGCATTTGATGTGTTCTGACATCTGCCGCGGCTTGTCCCAGGCTCCTCCTGCACCATTCCCACGGGCAGCCCTGGCCCTTGTAGGCTCTTTGGAAATCGTGACCTGCGCGCCGGACAAGTTTGTTGTCACCTGGCTTGTTTGCAGGCCTTTCAGTGAAGAGAATTAGGAAACAGAAGTGTTTTAGGTAGCATATATCAGGAGTTCATCCTGACATGGCTGATTCAGATGCAGGATTACACAGTTTCCTTCAGCTCTCTTAACTTTCATCTCTTTCCTCGCTAACCCGCTGAAAACCGTGGTTTGCAACAAGGCTAACGTAATGGCTCACTCGCTTTTCCTCCCATTTCACTCAGGAGTCCCAGCCGAACGACACAGCACTGCCCTTTACGATGCACTCACCAACACTGGTTTACTCTTTTCTGGTCCTGGGGATGCCCCTTGAACAGCTCCGTTGCGTGTGGTCAGGGTGCTGTCACCCTCTGGATGCCCAGCTCACTCATTCCCCTTTACCTTCGATGTTCAGGAATTGAGTATTCCTTGTTTTGTTTTGTAATTATGTAAAGTATCTACACAGGTTCAAGATCCAGTCTACAAACAAGGTACATTTCAAATAAATCTAGTTATGTCCCAGTCCTTTCACAGTCTTCCCGTCTTCCCGCTAAAATTAACTATTTAGAATTTAATTTATTTTTCTTTTAAAAATATAAACAGGTTCATAGATTTCTCTCCTTTATTGCATACTGTACCATTTTTCTCGACCTTGCGTTTTATTTTGCTCCATGTCCTCGCCCTCACTCTTGGGGTACACCGAGAACCAGGGGAGGCACTACTTGGGATTTCCCACTGGAGGTCCCATGGCTCACTCCTCTGGGTGTGGGCACTGGGCCCCTGCCCACCTTTTGAAGGTTAATGGCCCCACTGGCTAGGAGCCCAGGTCTCCCTGAGTCTGTCTGACATGGCTAGGGCAGGTCTGGGATGGATGCATCCAGCACTGTCCCCTCGGGGGGCTCTGGGGCTGGCAGGGGCCCCTGCAGTGCCAGGCTGGACCCCCAGCAGAAGCTGGCTGAACGCCGTCTCTTGCAGGACTCCTACTCGAGGTTCCTGAAGTCCGCCGCATACAAAGACCTGCTGGCACAAGCTGTGATTCCCCCAGAGGCCAGGAGACGGTGAGCTGGGCTGCACCCTGCGCCCCGGGCAGTGAGGCGGGCAGGACCCACACAGTCACCCTGTGCTCAGGTCCGCTCTCCTCCACAGGGTGTTCCCGTTTATGCGGAAGCTGCCGCATTCAAGCCCCAGCCCTGCTCTCCTTCCTGCCTCCACCTCTGGGGAGCCTGTGGCTGCAGCCAGTGGCCCTGAGTGTGGTGACGGGGGCACCTAGGTGGGCATAAAGCAGGAGGGGGAAGTGGCCATCCTCACCGCTTGCCCGGGGTCCTCACAGCTTTGAGACCCCTGGTGTGGGCGTCCCCTAATGCCCAGAGGGCCCGCCTTGCCCCTATGCCCAAGGGCCTCTTGGGCTCCCACCTTTTCCCTTGCCAAGCCCTCCCCTCCCCAGAAGGGGCTGGTCCGGGTGCTGATTCCCGGGAAGGGGTGTCATTGAGCTTGGGTCACCTGGAGAAAGGGAGGATGAGGCGGATCAAGCACATCAGGCCACCTGAAGGCCCTGGCATTCTGTGGTCTGCAGTTCATTAAATCGCTGGCAAATATCAGGTGGCTTCCAGCAGGGGGCACTTATCATGAGGAAACGCAGGCCTCGGGGCAGATTTACCCACAGCCCTTGGCCCAGTGTGACCCTGCAGGGACCCCACACCATGTCCCCAGTTCCACTGGGGCCGTGCTCAGCCTTCCAACCGGCCCAGAGCTGACCTCATGGGTCTTGCCCACACCGTGGCTGTCACTGTGCGTGTCCCAGACCTCATCCCGCAGGGACACCTCCAGCTGGTGTCCTCGAGGCTGGAGCTCCTCTGCCAGAGCTGCACAAACATGACTCCAGTGTCACCACCTGTGACAACCGGCCCCGGCCCACGGCCAGGGCAGGACCAGGCCAGGGCAGGTGGAACCCTTGGGGAAGGGGGTGATGCCACACAGGGTGAAGTACAGCTGCTCCTTTGGGGTGCAGCTCTGTCAGGCCGGGGGGGGGGTGCCACCCTTCCCACTCCCACCCATACCTGGCCCAGAAATAAAAGACCCTTGCCCTCACTGTGAACCCACCCTATTGTCCAAATTGTGGACTGTGGGTTGAGTGTTGTGGTGTGTGGTGTGCACGAGTGAGGCGTACATGAGGTGTATGGCACATGAGGCATGTGTGGTGTGCATGAGACATGCAGGTGTGAGGCATGTGTGCCTGAGGCATGTGGTAGGTGTGAGGTATGTGTGGTGTGCATGTGAGGCGTGGTGGGTGTGAGGTATGTGTAATGTGCGTGTGAGGCATGTGGTGTGTGTGAGGCATGCGGTAGGCGTGTGAGGCATGCAGTAGGCATGAGGCATGCGTGTGTGAGGCATGCGGTGGGTGCAAGTCATGCATGGTGTGCGTGTGAGGCACGTGGTCCATGTGGCTTGAGGTGTGAGGCGCGTGTGAGCTGGGCAGTGGTGGTGGACAGTGGGGGGAGTTCGGGTATCAACAGCATTGGTCACGGAGGGTCCCACGTCAGTGGCTCCACAGCAGAGGGGACCCAGCTTTCAGGCTGGACTCCGGCTGCAGACTCGGTGGTCTTTGGAGGGGACAGTGGGGAATGCCGTCTGTGCTCTGGCTGGACAAGGACGCCTGAGTGCTCCAGGGGAGTCAGGAAACTGAGTCCCGGGAGGTCATGGGGAGAGAGGAGGCTCTGGGTGTTCAGGCTAGCATCTTCTGGCCAGTTGGGCCCTAAGGCCTGAGTCAGAGGAAGGCTGGCATGGATCAGAGCCCCAGGGGAACCGTGAGCCCAGCTGCTTTGTTTGCAAGTCCAGGCTGCACGATGCCCACCAGTGCGGGCATCTCCTGGGCCTGCCTCTAGCTCCTGCCCACAGTCTCAGGACCTGCAGGGTGGTCCCTCCATGCACTGCGGCGGGTCCCGGGAGGCTGAGGGGCACTGCTACAGCCCCTAGCCCGGCCCTACCCCCGGGGATTTTTATCTGTGGACTTGTCACTGCAGCCCTGTTCCTGAGGCCGTATGGGCTGGGCAGCAGCTTCTCACAGTGACGAGGGTCCTGCTCCTTGGCAGAGCGCCCCCCCCAGGCTCCTGCCGCCTGGGCCGCTGCACCCCTCAGGGACCCCCTGCCTGTCCTGATGGGCGCACACCCATGTCCACAGGCTGGGTTCCTGACTCGAACCAGGGTGACCGGGGGGTGGGGGGGATCTTCGGACCTGAGCTGCACTTACAGGCCATGCAGAAAAGGTCCTCGGGGCCCCATTTCTGACTGGGCAGGTGGGGGGCACCCCGAGACCCTCGTAGAGGGTCCCCCACCTCTGCCAGCAGCCTGGCCAGCACCAAATCCACTTTACCCCTTCGGAGCAGACACACGAGGCACACACGTGCCCTTTCAGACAGTGCAAACCATTTATTCTGGTTTCTTCCTGCGGGACCCGGGGTCGTCAGGGCACAGTGAGCCACAAGGAGCACCACAGCAAGGCACAAAGGTGAGTCCCGCATTAGGTGACACCAACTGCTGGGGGCGTCCGAGCACCAGGAGGGGGCCAGGCACCGGCCAGGGGTGTGGGGACCCCTGAGGGATAAGCAGCTCCAGTGTGTACTGAGGGGGTGCAAACTGACCGCGACGTGTGCCCTCTGGCCAGGTCCTCAGGACGTTCACAGCACACGTGGCCAGCACAGGGACGGAAACGCCCCTGGGGCATCCATGAGCAGCAGGACGGCCTCACAGCGCACGGCAGCCCTATTCCTCATGCGCCCGTCAGAGGGGAACCCCTGGGCAAGTTTCCACTAACCAGGCCAGAGGCTGGAACTGCCTCAAGCGCCCAGCTGCTGCCCTGAGCCCCCCCCACCAGGCCAACCGCGCTCCCAGGCCCCAGGGGGTGTGCAGACAGGAACGAGGGAGGGGACTTCTCAGGATGGGGCTCTCTTCCCAGAGCCACGGTCCCTCCCGCCGGTGCGGACGAAGGCAGGTGGCCTGGAGTGTGACCCCAGTGGGGCAGAGTGAGGACCTGTGGGGACGTGCTGTGCAGGAGGGGAGAGGCCTGGGCATGCCCTCACCCCCACGCGTCCCTGCATAGGACAGGAACCCCAGGATCGGGAGTAGGGGAGTCAGTGCAAACCGAGTGAAAGACTGACTTCCCACGGCATTCAACCCCAGCAGCTGGATCCTCTCCCACATGCGCTGCCCGCCAGGCCTCTTAGGCCTCACTCCGGTACCGCAGGCGGGAGAAGCGGTCCCGGACAGCCTGGTCGCTGTCGGGCCCGCCCTCGGCCAGGCGAACCACCCTACTGCTCGGGACAAGGTCCCGCACCTTGTGCTTGGCCACGGAGACCATGCCAGGCGCGTCTGGGCTAGCCGGGCCCATCAGGAGGACGCAGGCAGCATGGCGGCTTGGCTCGAACAGGACCGCTATGGGAGACACGGGCCGTCAGGGCGCTCGGGACCAGCCAGAGACGAGCCAACAGCAGGCGGAGCCCCAGGCCCCGGGAGGCCGCACTCACCTTGGAAGGCAACAATGTTGGCAGAGAAGTTGGCCAGCTCCAGCAGGACGCCAGGCAGGCTGGGATGGAATACGTACAGGGTGTGCTGGGCGTCTCTGGGCTCCTGGAGCAAGAACCACAGTGCAGCGTGAGGCTGACCCCACGTGTGCATCAGAGACACCAGTGTCCTGGGCCCAGGGGCGGGGCCATGCTGTGCTTGCCCTCTCCGGACACTCGGATAGAGTGGCCCTGCCCACAGCTGTGTCCACAGGGTCCTCAACGGTGCAACCACCTTCTACTCCCCTCCCTTAGCCTGACCCTGACCCTTCTGAGGCATGCTCCCAATGGAACTCTGCACCTACCTTCCCCCAGATCCCCATCCTCTGCCCCGAGGCAGACCTCAGCCCCAGCCTCGAGTGTGGTCCAGGGTACCTCATCCCACCCACAGTCTCATGGCTTCCATTTATGTGTGCACACCCAGTCACCCAGTTAGCTCCCAGCTGCCTCGAGGCAGGACCCAAGGCTGGCCTCTGGTCTCTGGCCCTGGCCCGGGTGTGTCCCCTTAGTCCATGCCCTGCCCATACTGTCTGGTTGGTGCCCATCAGCTCGTGGAGGCCCCAGAAAAAGAAGGCTGAGCGGTGGTCCGCGGTTGGCAGGCTGGCAGACTGCGGATCCCCGGAGAGGCCCGGGAGAGCCTGTTTCCACAGGACAGCCCCGGTGCTGAGGTCCAGGAACAGGATCTGGGAGGGAGGGGGACAGCAGGGGGTGGGGGGTCACAGGTGGGGCTTGCACAGGCCCATGGGCCCCAGCCAGGCCAGCCCTGAAGGAGCTGCACCCCAAGGGCACCCAGGATGTCTCGCCAAGGCTCCTCTTTTGCTAGCTCAGCCTTCCAGCACGGCCCCGTCTGCTGTCCCAACTAACGTCCCTCAGCTATGAACAACGGTGGGGCCTCAGAGGGGGTGCAGCCAACCTGTCTGTCAATGCCGGTTCCGTTTTCAATGACTACAGCCAAGGTGTCAGGTCTGTAGTGGCCGAGGATGGGTTTTCTGCAAGGACAGGGCAGGAGCGTTCACACCGGGCCTCTGTGGGGGGGGGTCCCTGGGAACAGGTACACCAGCCCTCTGCTCCTTGGCTGCACCTGGATGGGGCCTGGACGGGCAGCTGAGGCCAGGGTGGACGGCATCTCACCGGCCCCTCCGGTGCAGGGCAGCACCAGGGGACAGGCAAGAGGCCTCTGGCTGAAGCACACAGACGTCCCCCAGCCACACAGAGGCCTCATCCCAGGGCTGCCAAGGGACAGGTTGTGGTGCCCGGCTGGCAAGCACTGCCCGGTTCCTGGAGAAAGACTCAGTACCTCAAGACCTGGGCTGCGCTGAAGGTCCACCTGGGTGCCAGGTCCTGCCCATCAACCAGCACACAGGCCTCTGAACTCACGAGGAGGAGGTCCTCACCAGCCTTCCCTGGAACATTCATCAGGTAGCGGATGGCTCCCGGGCTAAGGGGAGAGAGCCAGAGGGATGTGGCAGGGACGCGGGCTGCCTGCAGGGTTAGCAGTTCGCCCCATGGTCCCTGCTTCTCCAGTTTAGGGTAAGACCAGACGCTGGCTGTGTGCAGAGACCCCCCCCCGGCTTCATCTTAGCTGCTGCAGGCTCGCTTCCCGTGTCTGAGCCCAACGGCAGGCAGGGCTGGGGCCCTCGCCCCGCGGCCACCCCTGTAGTCCCCCGCCCCGACCAACCTGTGCCACAGCAGCCTGGGGGTGGTGGCGTTCAGCACGCCCTCCCAGTGCGGGTCGCTCCTCAGTGGACTCCCGTTCCCAGTCACCTTCTCGTGGAGACCCTTCACAGAGCAACCACAGAGGGAGCTCGCTGCTGGAAACCCAGAAGAGCCTGAAGACGCTGCTGGCCGGGAGGAGGCCACCCGCTAGCCCTGCTTCCGGGACACACGGTGCCCTCCCTGAGGCTCGGGCGCGACACACTCTGGCTTTCTGAGCCTGTCAGTGACGAACTCGTGTCCGCCCTGCAGTCCCTGGCTTCCCTGAGAGCGACAGTCCCGGGAACGGCAGGCGCCACATACCACAAGGGAAAAGGATGTAGTGGGCACCCGCCGGGGAGACATGCAGGAGGGAGCCCGTGGTCCCGCCCACACCAAGGCTGCCGCGGCGGCCAATCTGCTGTCCAGTGCTGCCGGAGTAGAGGTAGCCGCCAACCTGTAACACAGAGAAGGGGGTCAAGACCCTCCTGGTTCGAGGAAAGAATGCGTTGAGTTTCTGGAATCAGGCATCTGCACACCCTCCTGGGGACGTGGGCAGCCCCACGCCAGCCACAGGGCCCTACCCTCCGTGCTGCAGCGGCACCTACTGCCAAGCGCACGCTCTGCCCAGAAGCTGCCCAGGAGGAAGAGAGCCGCCCTAGCGTGCCGGTCAGCAGATGCCAGGAGCACGGGGCCCTGCGCACGCCCCCCGACAAATGGTCAGACCCACGTTGTGCCCATGAAGTGAGAGTGGATGAAGGGCAGAGAAGAGGCCTCACAGTGAGTGGGCCACGGCGACCCGGGAGGGGAGCAGCACCTCCTTCTCCTCCTGGGTGAGAACCAGCAGGTCTGGGGCCCCGTCAGCATCGACGTCAGGCAGCTGGAGTAAAGAGCTCAGGATGGAAGCATTCCTTCCAAAGCTGCTGGGGTGGCTCCACAGGGTTTCGCCTAAAACGAAGCACAACGTCACCAAGTGCTGGCTCCAAATCCCCTTCTGCTGCGGGCTGGCAACGGCACAGTGCCCACACCGAGAAATGGAAGTGTCCGCCAGCAGGAGGCCAGAGGCCAGCACCGAGTGCACACCACTGGGCGTCCAAGTCATCACACGCCAGAGCGTCAGATGTGTCGCTTCTGGAACCACAAAGCTCCACCTTCCTGTTTTGCTTCTCCTGTGTCTTCTCATGTTTGGCTCTAGGGCCAACACTGATCCTCCCGCCCAGATGGACAGGGCCTGACGCTTCCCAAGCCCCTCGGGACCCCTGACTATTGCTGAAGTCACAGGTGGACCCTCGGCCTCCAGGGAGGCCCCAGCTGAGTCCTGCACACAGAAGGTGGAGAAGGAAGGGACGTGCTTATGGCTGGACCCACGGACCAGAGGCCCTGACAGAACAGCTTCTTTTGTCCCCAGGTACGATCTCATCCATACCCTTTTTAAGACTATTTCCTCTCTTGAAATATTTCCAGCCTGCTTTGTTTTCCTCTATAGCCCTAAACCCATGACTGGTAAGGGAAATGCTACTCCTCAGCACACCTAGCGTCAAGGCACAGAATTCCTTAAGCCGCCGGTGAGGTCTGGGGGCTAACCACGGCCTGTTACATGGAGGCCCAGACACGAGCACCCGTGCATCCAGAGCCCTGACAGGCCCTCCCCCGGGGGCTCAACCAGACGCTGGCCTGGGTACTGCAGCCGCCACCGAGCCCCGTCCCTGCTGGCCCCACAAGCACAATGGAGCCGGGAGGTGACAAGACACGGTGGAGTGAGACTGCGAGGAGGCGGCACCCCTCCCTCCTACCCCCGGAACCTTCTTCCCCATCTTGTGTGCTGGCCCTGAGAACCCAGGCTGAACCTCCTCAGAGCTCCCTGGTGTGGAACCTCCCGTGCGGAGCCGCCTACCTGTGAACAAGTCCACAGCGACGAAGGAACCAGGTCTGCCCACGAGGACGCAGGCAGAGGTCGACCTGCCGCCCTGCAGCTGTGGGACGGGGCACTGCACGAGGGCCCCGTCCTGGGCTGCAGGCCTCTCCCAGAGCACGCTGCCGTTGGCCCCGGACACGGCGGCCACAAAGGTACAGGGGGAGGAAAAGCCTGGCGGGGAAAGACCCAACTCTGTGGGGGCAGGTCAGCCCCTCTTCCCCACACCCTGCTCCCGGGCCCAGCCCTGACCGCTGGCCCCGCAGAGACCCTACTGCTGGCCCCACGGGGTCAGGAGCTGCGCAGGGGCCAGGGTGCTGGGACCACGGTCCACACCCTGCTGTTTCTAGGCCTCCTGGGAAGGAAGGGCAACGTTCCAGTTTCCTGAAATTCCACCAACCGCTTCCCCCAAAGACAACAGAAGGAGAGGATCCCTCCACCCACAGGAAGTTCCTCCTTTTCCAGGTAAAAGCAAAATTACCTTCATCGGTGCAGGATAGGTTGAAATTGTTGCTGCCATTGGTATTTTTATAAAGAAAGAGAACATCTTGGATCCTGTCCCTGTTTATGTCTTCTGTAGCCAGAAAGTCATAGGTGACTGAAAAAGAAAATTGCAGACTATACTCCCGGGGCCCCGCCAGGCTTAAAGGCCTGGCCAAGCCCGACACCATCTACTTCCGTGCTCCCTGGGGGTCAGCACCAGTTAGCACCCGCCAGCGCGAGGCCGCACCCAGAGCAGTGGCGTACAAACACATGCTCGCACAGCTTCTCTTCGGGAAGGAGTCCCTTCCTGCCTGTCTGGGTCCAGGAGTCTGCACTCCCAAACTCGTAAGGGTCGACGTCTCCCTTTCATTCAAGGACTCAAACGATACACTACAAGTGTTAACACAAAAACGAACTAAGGGGCGCCTGGGTGGCTCAGTCGGTTAAGCATCCGACCCTTGATTTCTGCTCAGGTCACGATCTCAGGGTCGTGAGATTGAGCCCCGCGTGGGGCTCTGGGCTCAGCATAGAGTCTGCTTGTCCCTCTCCCTCTGCTCCTCCTCTATCTCTAAAATAAATAAATAAAATCTTTAAAAAACAAAAAGAACTCAAAATGGATCAAAGACCTAAACCTAAGAGCTTCCTAGAAGAAAATATAGAGAAAAACTGACACACCGGAGTCTGTCAAAATTTAAAGCCTTTGTGCATCAAAGGACACTGCCAAGAGAGTGAAGAGACACCCCACAGAGTGGGAGAGAATGTCTGCAGATCAGGTATCTGACAAGGGACTGATACCCAGTATCAGCCTACCCCTCCAGCACAAAGACAACCCAAGGCAAAAACGGGCAAAGGACTCAGAGATGATCAACATCACCAGCAATTAGGGAAATGCCAATCAAAACAGTAATGAGACATGACCTCATGCTCTTTCACCCAAAATAACTGGAAGAAGGGACTTGGTCCCCGTACAGCCGGTTCACTGCGTCATTCCCAGCTGCCAAGACGTGGAAACAAGCCAAGTGTCCATTGACAGAAGAATGGATAACCAGAGTGCAGTCCACGTACAATAATTATTCACCCGTAAAAAGGAAGGAGATTCGGACGCCCGCGACAGCACAGATGAACCCGGAGGGCGTTGCACTCAGTGAAATCGGCCGGACACAGAAGGGCAAGTCTTAAATGACTGCTTCTGCGGAGGCCCCAGGCATAGGCAGACTCAGAGGCCAAGAGGCTCAGGAGGAGGGAGAGAGGAGTCGGTGTTTGCTGGGTGCCCTTTCTGTTGAGATGATGGAAAGGGGCAGAGGTGACGGTTACACGGTGTTATCGATGTCCCGACGCCAGTGAGTTACGCTCTTTAAACATACATGTCTATTTCACTACGATTTAAAAAATAAATCAAACGCCAGCCTCAGGACTTCCAGAATCATGGAGGGAAGAGCTTGGCAAATCCTCTCCCTTGAAACAATATAATGAGACAAATTGCCAAAAGCAACCGTATCAGGACTCTGGAAACAGACACAAGGCATGCCACAAATCGAGAGGTGCCTCCTGAGAAAAAACAAGCCACCGGTCAGGACGGTCGGCATCCACCATCCTACTTACGACTCCTGCCGGCCTCGCCCTCCACGGCTGGGCACTAGATGGGTCAGCTTCCCTGCCAGAGGGGGACGACCTGATTTGCAGCCAGATGTCCAGGGCTACGGTGCTCTCCCCGGCAAACAACGAAGGCCAGCTCTGAAGCCAGACACAGGCTGGGATACGGGGCGGAGCTGACAACAGTCAGGAGGACCAGCCAAAAAGTGAACGGATCCAGGACAAACGGAAATTAAAAGAATTTGCGATCACCAAACCAACCCTACAAGAAGTATTGAAAGGGGTCCTCTAAGCAAAGAGAGAGCCCAAAAGTAACATAGACCAGAAAGGAACAGAGACAGTCTACAGTAACAGTCATCTCACAGGCAATTCAATGGCACTAAATTCATATCTTTGAATCGTTACCCTGCATGCAAATGGGCTAAATGACCCAAACAAAAGACACGGGGTATCAGATTGGATAAGAAACAAAAAGTGAACGGAGAGATCCAGAAAATGAGATCCGGAAATGAGACTCTAGGTCCCCACATATCCCTGGCAGCCCGAGGCTGCAGGAACCACAGGGAGGAAGCCTGTTCAGCCCCAGAAAGAAGCAGGGACACGCTGTAACCGACAGAGCCTTGTCTCCCAAGCAAGTGGCCGGACTCAAAGATCCACGCCACACGACTTTCTTTACGTGATGTGTCCACAAAAGGCGAGACTGTAGGCAGAAGGCAGCTGGTGGCTGTCTGGGCTGGGGGTCAGGGACAATGGAAATCTGAAACTGGACCGGGCTGACAGGTGCACAGCCGCTCCATAAATGGACGAAAAATCATCGAATCGTACATTTAAAACAAGCGAACACTTTGACATATAGATTACACTTCAGTGAAAGCTGCAAAAAATAAATACAGAAACATACGTTATTTCTGTCTCTCCAAATTAAGCATCAAATTCTGAATAAAACTGACAGCGAGGCTTAAATGAGAAATTCCCTTCACTGCACGAGAGATGCCTGCCAGTGTTCACAGCCGCTTGTGCTTGCTGTGGGCACTCCCGCCCTAACAAGGAGGTGAAGTGTCCAGAGAAAGGCTGACTCGGTGGCTTTGCATAGAGGCCAAGAATCCAGACCGCCGCCTTCATGGGGGGAAACGGATTTGCTCAAGTCCCACTCAGCCGACCGCAACAGTCGCAGAGCACTTGAGGAAACCAGACTACAAAACCTGCAGTTTTCATAGCTCCCCACAGCCTTCCCTCTATCTCTTCTTCCAGCTGCTCTGTTTTATTATTATTTTTTTTTAATTCCAAAACCTAACCCAAGGGGCCCCTTTCCTTTATTGGCACAACCCATCCTTCCTAATATGGAGAGCAGGCCACTGTGGTCCCGTTTTTCCTGAGGCTGCTTAGCAGCTCGCCGAAGTCCCAAGACCGTGGATGCGCCATTGGCAGCCACTCAGGGCTGATTCTCTGTCACCCACCACCCTAGATTCGGGGACACGATGCCACCCCCACCTCAGGGACAGGGGTTTGGGGCACACCTGCTGCATTGTAGTCGATCCTCCACACCCCCTGGGATGCAGGCCGGTCCGGACATGGGATGATGAAGGAAACCACGAACACTACAAAAAGGCAGACAAACAGTGAAAGAAAAAACGCCACTGTGCGGCATCGGGAGAGGTGGGGCTGCCAAGGTGAGCCTTTCAAGCTATCCTCCGTTTTCGCTTGGTTTCCCAGATTCTCCTGCAGTTTCTTGTCTTCATTCTTCAAGGGGTGGATTTCGGCTTCTAGGTCCTTGCTGTCCATCATCACGTGCACATGCCAGAGCTGGTCACTGCGTCAGTAAAACAGGGACAGTCACACAGCTGCCGTCCCCGGCCGCCTTCCAGCCGTGCTCAGTCTCTCAGCCTGGGTGCAGCCATGACTGCGCCCATCAGCCCAAGAAAGAAAAGCTAAATGAATGTTTACGGTGTCTTGGATGCCACCCAAGAAGGTCCTTTTGATGGCAAACAGCTCGTGTGGAGCCAGCAGGCAGGGGATATTTCCACCCTTAACACCCCGGTGTCTCTTGCCTGCTGAGGCGGGGGCAAGCTGAGGGAGCGCTGGGCAGCGCTAGGGCCGTGGCAGGTCATCAAGCCATGCATTAAACATTAACTAAGCTGCCCGGGCACAGTCTGGGCACGACTGATCCACCATCCGCCAGCCTGAAGCACAGATAGGCAGGGGGCCCAGGCGCGAATGTGGTGAAACCACCACCCTCACAGGGGGACCCCCCCCCGGAGGATCACGGGCCCCTGGGGAAAAGTGTCAAAAGTGAAGGCGGGTTCTGGTGTCCCAGCCTTGCCCCACGTTCACTGTGTGAAATGAGGCAAACCACTGCACGTGACCGTGCCCCATTTCCTGACTTGTAAAAGGAAATCAGAATCTATTTTAGAAGGCTGCTTAAAGGATTAAATTTGTAAATTCATATAAAGCACTTATAACAGCACCTGACATACATTAAGCACTCAAATGCTAGCGGATCGTTACTAATGATGAGCTAAGATGCGCTGGACGTCCGTGGAGGAGGAAGCGGACAGCAGGAGGACGGGTCCCAGTGTGAGTGCCGCCGGGAGCCCTGCCTCCTGCTGGCTGGACGTGGGTGACGTGCTGAGCCAACCTGGAGGGACCAGCTTGGAAAATGAGGCAGGGAACGCTTCTGAAGATGGCCAAGCCACAGGACAGGAAGCACCTGGGTCCCTCCCTGGCAGCTGGAAACCACCATTCATCCTTGGGTTCTTTATCATATGAGAAAGACAGGACTGTCTACCCGGTGTAAGGCAAGATATCTGTCATCCAGGTCCTTTTGAAACACCCAAGCCGTGTCCTAATGAACACAAATTCTATCAAGAGAATGGAAGGGACTACGTGCGTCTGAGTGAGTTATGATCCTCGTCTGCCCAAAAAAGAAAGTCAACAGTTCCTGACTCAAATGGGGACATGCCTGAGACCAGATGGAGGCGAAAACCAGAGGACATGGCCGGTGGCTCAGGGTGGCCCCTCTAAAGACAGGTTAAGGAAGACGGAGGGAGACAAGAGACTGCTATTTTTTTCTATAAACTTTTTATTTATTTATTTTTTAATATTTTATTTATTTGAGAGAGAGAATGAGATGAAAGAGAGAGAGCATGAGAGGGGGGAGGGTCAGAGGGAGAAGCAGACTCCCCGCTGAGCAGGGAGCCCGATGCGGGCTCAATCCCAGGACTCCAGATCATGACCTGAGCCGAAGGCAGTCGCTCAACCAACTGAGCCACCCAGGCACCCTCTATAAGCTTTTTAGTTTCTGTCTTTAACTATTTTTCTCTAATTATTTAATTAAAATAATTCACTTAAAAACCTGTGTGTAGCCTCCTGGATGGCTCAGTCACTTGAGTGCCCGACTCTTGATTTTGGCTCAGGTCGCAATCTCAGGGTCGTGAGATCGAGCCACGCTGCACAGGGAGCCTGCTTGGGATTCTCTCTCCGCCTCCCCCTCTGCCGCTGCCCCCCAAACCCTCAAAACCTGTGTGTATACCTCCATTAGGATAGCTTTCATTAAAATCGAAAAGTGAAAGATGACGAGTGCAGGTAAGAATGCGGAGCAACCGGGACCCTGTGCGCTGCTGGTGGGAATATAACTGGGGTCAGGGTAACAGAGTTACCCTGTGACCCAGCAACTCCACTTCCAGGCGTACGCCCGAGGGAACTGCAAACAGACTCACGTGCAAACCTGTAAACAAACGTTCTGGGCTTCATTATTTGTAAGACACGGATACACACAATGGAACAGTACTCGGCCCTAAAAAGGCATAACGTGTGACCCCTGCTATGGCAGGGATGAACCTTGGGAACAGCCGTGCTCAGTGAGACACCCGGACAGAAAGACGCCATCTACGTGAGAGGGTCACGACAGGCGAATGCGTAGCCATAGGCAGCGGTGGCTGGCGGGGTGTGGGGGGATGAAAATGGTGGCACTGTGGCCGGACTAATGTCACTAACAGTAACTTTTATGTTAGGTGTATTTTACCACAATTTAAAAAGAAACCCAAACGCATCTTTGTGCATTCCCGTTCGTGCTGACACATGAGTGTGGAGGTCTGGGAAGTCGGAAGAGGCGTGCCCGTCCAAGGTAATGAGTTGGACACAGGAGGATCAAGCAATGACTCATGAGCAGGGACCTCATTAAACCCGAGCACCTGACGCGGGGTGGGGAGGTGGGGCGAGGGTGTCTGGAGGAGTAAGTAGGGAAAGAGCCGCAGCTGGGCCAGCAGGAGAGCTGCTTATTCAGCAGGTCTAGACGCTATGTCCCCAAGGAGCGGACGTCTGACATATTTAGAACACGTACGTCCCTTTGGCAGAGGAAAGAAAACTGAGCGAGAAATCGGAATGCTAAAATTCTTGATTTTTTTTTTTTTTTAAGATTTTATTTGACAGAGAGAGACACAGCGAGAGAGGCAGCACAAGCAGGGGGAGTGGGAAGAGGGAGAAGCAGGCTTCCCACCGAGCAGGGAGCCCGATGTGGGGCTCAATCCCAGGACCCCGGGATCATGACCTGAGCCGAAGGCAGACACTCAATGGACTGAGCCACCCAGGCGCCCCAAAATTCTTGATTTTAAAAGCTCTGTCTTTAGGGGCGCCTGGGTGGCTCACTCAGCTGGGGTCCAACTCTTGGTTTCAGCTCAGGTTGTGGGATCGAGCCCCGCATTGGGCTCCTTGTTCAACGGGGACTCTGCTTGAGATTCTCTCTCCCTTCCCTCTGCCTTCCTCGCACACGTGCTTGCACTCTCTGTCTAAAATAAATAAATAAAATCTTTATTTAAAGAAAAGCTCTATCTTTAAATTTCTCTTACTTCAGAGCTTTAAAACACTGGGCAGGAAACTCAAGGTGTCTGAGCTGTAGCAGCCCTCATCTTTCAAAAGCACGGCGTCCACCAGGGGACAGTGGGAAGGCACCCTAAGACTGTCTATGCAAGAACAAGGGGCTCCATTCAAAGTGACACCACTACTCACACCCAGCCTGTGGTCCTCGTTTTCCCAGACCCGCCTAGTGGAAGGAGCATGAGGGGGCGAGCTCAACACTAGCTCTCTCCCCCTCTCACTCTCTCTCTAAGCCTAGTAAATCTATTTACTTGAGAGAGAGAGAGCACACAAGCAGGGGGAGTGGGAGAGGGAGAAGCAGACTCCCCGCTGAGCAGGGAGCCCGATGCAGGGCTCGATCCCAGGACCCTGGGCTCATGACCTGACCTGAAGGCAGACGCTTCACCGACTCAGCCACCCAGGCGCCCCCATAAAGTAATATTTAAATAGCAACCTTCTCCGCTGTTGTTTTAAAAATGTAGCCAATTGACCATTTTGACCTTTTTTTGTTTTTTAAGTAATCTGTGCCTAACGTAGGGGCTCAAACTCAGGACCCCGAGACCAAGAGTTGCACGGCCACCGACTGGGCGCCCAGTGCCCCAGAACACATGGCATCTTTAAACAAGTGCATTGAAAGGTCTGTTACACGCAGAACTAGGTCGATAGCCATTTGTGATTGATCCTAAGTCATGACTGATCAGGACTGAGGTAAGTGCATGGTGTGAGTTACAAAATCACAGGGAGAACATTCTATCGAACTCCAGAACCTATATATACTTTGGGGCCCTAAGAGCTGATAGTTTTATTTGTAACTTTGCAAACTGCTATTTATGTATGAAACAAAGTAGGAAAACATACGGAGAAGGGGTTATGTTTACAGAGGACTTCTTAAATGTGTGACTTTTCCTCAATGTAAACATTTTTAGTGCCTACTTAAGGACGTCAAGTCAAGGAGTACAATTCCAGTGTTGTGCATGTTGTCAAAGACAAAAATAAAACCACTTTGGTGGCTTAAAAAAAGAGAAAGATTATTAGCACCAAAATAAAAGAACGCTAAATATGCGTCCAGATGGTCTAAGCGAAAACGCGAGTAGACTTTGAAGCTGGGTTTGGGAGCAAGCTCTACCACCTGTTTTGTGGCTTTCCACAGACTTGTTAATAGAAGCGTGATTTCCTTTGTGTAGCTGTGGGTGTTTCGTGCGTCTCGTGCAGGTGTTGGGAAGGTTGTAGGCAATGTCCGCAGAGCCCCGGGCTCTGTGTGCCTCCCTCTGTCTCTGTCACTCCTTTCTTGGGGTCTCCATCTTCGTCACCGCCAGCCCGTGCCACTTCTACTTTTTCTAGACCCTAGGAGACCCGATTCATCTCACTCACCTCCTCTTTCCTGTTAAAGGACCTGCTTCAGGCCTAGAGCTGCCCAAGGGGCTAAGGGTCTGTGCTTGACATTCTGAGAAGCAGCTTCGGGTCTTGGCGTGAAGATTCCTTGACAGCCTTCCAGTGAGGTCTTGTGACCTCCCACCCCCCCAGGAATAGCCTCTATAAGGGGCCTTCACAGAGCCGTCCCGATACCACCGACGGATTACAAGATAATTTAGGTGGTACATAAATGAACATTTTTATTTCGGTAGTTACGTATACATATTTTAAAGATGTATTTATTTATTTGAGAGAGAGAGAGAGGGAAAGCGCGTGTGCACAGAGAATCTCCAGCCGACTGAGCACGGAGCCCGACGTGACCCCACGACCCTGAGATCACAACCTGAGCTGAAACCAAGAGTCAGAAGGTTAATCCACAGAGCCACCCAGGTGCCCTTGTTACATATATAGTTTTCACAGACGTCTTTCCATTTATGGTTAAGTGATTATGGTCTTAGACATCTAATCACTGATACAGTTTCCTTTGCTGTCGGTTCTCAAATTACTGACATATAGTAAGTTGCAAAGATCACACCGAGAGGTCTG